CAACAACCACAATCCAAAGTTTAGACACAGCAACACTCCCTTAGATAAAACACGAGCTGAACTCTTGGATCCTCATCATTTTCATTTTGTCCTTTTTTTTCTAACATTCCAAACTATGAATCAGAAAAGTTAACAAAACTCCAACAGGCAATAAAAATATCTCTGGCCTATTTTTATTAGACACAACTTCTAATACAGAGAAACTTTTTCAGGGGGCAGCTCATAGGAAACGGGGAAAATAAAGCGGGTAGTCTCGTAGGGACCCACCTGTTCTACAGACCACTTTAATGTAAAACACACCATCTGGGCCACCACACATTTCACCAACAAAAAAGCAGCTTTTAATAAAGGACACACACGCTCTTGCATTTGAGCGATGCTTCCAAGTTCCAATGTTTAACATTTTTATTTCCTGGAGATTCAATCTTACTTAAAACCACAAGTGGCACCTGGTGGACTCATGTGAGGATAATAGCTAACAAAATATTTGATTCTTTTTCACAGACACTAAAAGAGAATGCTGTCCTCTTGTTTTTTTCTATTTTGAAGCTCTGACAATAGAAGTGAACCTCTGTATCATGTCATATACACGCCCCAAGGAAAAAGGCAGACTGAGAATCAAAAGAACCAAAACACTCCAAAACGCTCTAAGTATAAATGGAACATAATTAATTGTTTGTTTTGTAAAAAATAATTACTGGTAATTACCTTAGTTGTGACCTATGAATTAAAGATGATCTGAACAGAATAAACAATGTTCTGTCTGGCTTTTTTGGACTTTTCAAATATTTGTCTTGTGAGACATAAGATATTTAAACTGATATTTATGCAGAGCTACTGGTTTACTGAAAAGAATCACAGGATCTGGTTTGTCATGTCTCTGTATAAATAACATGTCACAGATGGTGAAATTATTCACCGCTAACTTCCAACAAGTCCGATGGAAAACAACATTTACATTCTTGGAAAAAAAACAAACCCTCAGACCCTCCCACTCCTGGGACATTTGACCGTCGATGGCATGCGTCAGAGCGCCGCCATCGCCACGTCAGTCTGCTGGCATCATCGCCTCTTTCTCCCATGGGCTCAGTGTTCAAACGACGGTGCCAATCCGTCCCGACACATCGCACAAACAACACCATCAAAGAAACGTGGCGCTGAAATCAATTTCTGATGTAAAGAGATGGCAATCTAAATGATTCTCTTTGTGCTTGAACCTCCCGCTGATCCTAATCCTTGCGTTGCTGCCTGATCTTAAAACTTTTGCAAGTTTGGGCCATCGCTATTAACCACAAGGCCATTGCTCTTTTCATCTGCTTCTTGCTAAGCCAGAAGCTCTCAGCAAGCTCAAAGAGGCTTTATAAAGTGAAGGAGAGCATTACACGGTGCCAGAGGAAAGAACAGCAGCAGATTGATACAAACACGCGGCGTTACTCTTTGTTTTTCACTTCGTCATGGAATGATTAAAACATAATACGCAGTGAGGGAGAGAAAATATTTTTTGAAGTCAAATATGTTATAGAAATTACAGCTCCCTCTTTGTGTTTAAATGTCTTTTCTTCTATGACTGTTTTAAGTATTTGATGAAGTTTTAGATCAAAATATGTGCTGACCGAGGCGAAGATTTGTGAAGCAAGATGAAAGGAAACATTGCTGCATAATTTGGTGCTTTTCTGTCAACAATTTATAAATGTGAAACATGACTGTGTGAAACTTTTGTGTCTTTACTCATTTGTTCATTTATGACTTGCTTTTTACTCCTTGAAGTAATCTTAAACAATAGTGGTATTTTTCTGAAGGTGCTTTTATAGCTTTCTTGAATTTAGTTTAAACTTTGGACACCTTTCTGTTCATATGCGTTGAAATTATTTGCAGTTTGATTTCTTCTACTAAAGTATAAAATATCTACTGTCTACTTTACTGTAATAAACTTTGGAGTCAAGGGAAAGTTTAATTGCTTTGAGAAATTAGAAAGGACAAAGCTGAGAAAAGATCAGCCATTTTGGATTTGTTCAATAACATTCTTACATGCTCCCATTCCCAAAAATCAACAAGGTTAAATTTGGTTTAAAGCAGTTAGTGGGAATTAGGTTGGTGCAGTTTCATTTATAAAGATAAAATGAAACATCATTTCCAGATTAATTGGGCCATTGTCCTCTAAAGCTGACAATGGCCTTTTCTGGCAGACAAGCAGCAATTCCTCATCTAAAATGAAGCATATGACTAAACGGCAAAGTAGAAACTGCATATGAGTTTTTATTATGCAGTAATGTATTTTGTGGGAGATAATCTTCTTCTTCCTTTATTTTCTATTTTATTCAGAATGTCTGAACTTGAACAGGAAGTCTGCAGAATCCTGTGCAAATTTTGTTAAATTTGCACAGCTATGGTTCCATTTAATCTATTCTGTTTTTTTTCGTATTCTGCTTTTTCCTCAAACTTGCTCCAAACTTAATAAACAAGACATCCATTAATTCAATCAAGTTTTTTCTCCAGTTTAGGTTCTGCCTTAAACCTCTGCAGCATGTTTGCTAATGCAGAGCTTTTTACATATCTGCAACACATTTTTGTTATTTGTTACAAATGTTTTGTTCTGTAAGAAATGCAATGTGTTTAGTCCTTTTTATTTTAAGAGACGCTCTGAAACACAAATTGCAGTGTTTGCAACAACGAAGAGGAAGCAGTGTGGCCTAATGTGTCACATAAAATCTCTCCTAAACTGGAACTTTGTCTCTTTGAAAACAAGACAGCAGCACTTTGCATGGAGCCACTGTTGCCCTGCTTTGCTTTTGTGAACTTCTGTATAATTCATTAATGGATGACGATTAAATTAGGAATATTTAGTTTACTGGTTTTAATCTCTAATCTACTGAGATTTCAAAGAGTTGATGATGCCGTGCATGCTGAGCCAGTGTCTTTGGAAAAGAAGCATTCCCAAAGCATTACACATCCTCCACCTTACTTTGCAATATTTGTCATTTGTTTCACAACAAACCCATTACAGTCACTGAAAATCCAATTATAGTATAATCTGACCAAAGCACATGGCTTCAGATAGAGTTGAATAAAATCCTCTAGCAATAGGACCACACCACTTCTTCAGTATGCTGGACAGATAATATAACCTGTTTGTATGATGGACAAAAAAAAATAACCTTCATTTTATTTATAAGTCGGTTAAACAGAAAGTTGTGAATTTCTCATCAAATTGCGCTGCTTATGATTTTGTGAAAGAAATAAAGTCAACTAAACAAACAAAAGTATTTCTAAATAATATGCTATTGTAAATTAAATACCAGGGACATTTGCGGTTGTAAAATGGCCTCAAAAAGTGGTTTCCCTTCGTGGAAGCCAGGCATCACCCCAGGAGGACAGGAGGGTGGGGCACAATTAAATTATTTGTCTCAATAAACTGTGCAAGTCTGTGTGTATCAGAGAGCAGCAGCCCGGTGATCCATCATCAGCGGTGAGGGTGTGGAAGTGGGAGGATGATGAGCGAACCAGAGGAGCATGCTGACGGCAGGAGCGAAGAGAGGCTCTCCATCTCTGCGAGCGCTGCAGAGTGCGGCATAGTTTGGGCTTTTAAAATGGATGTTTAATGGATGCATGTTGGAAAGAAAACAGCACTCACACTGGATGCGTTAGTGACATTTCCGTGCAGCAGCAGTCTCGTATTTCTAATGATCTGGAGTCTTTCTTGAAATAACACATTTCAGGAAAGGATATTTAATTTTTGCCAAGTCAGCTCTGATTGGCGATTGGAAGGCCAGATACTGAAAACCTTTTTTTTTTTTTCATGCATCAAAACTGAAAACTTCCACCATTTCCTGCCTGTCAAAGGAAATGTTTCGAAAGACCTTTTTCCTCATCTAGACCAGCTTTCCACAATCACTGAGCTAGAGGACGTGCACACCCTGGACAGGTTGCCAGTTTGTGACAGAACAACCCCCCAGTTGACCTGCTATCCATATTTTTGTACTGTAGGTCGAAGCCAGAGAACTCGAGAACTCACACATACATCTCAAGAACATGCAAACTCTATGTTGAGAGGCCTTAACTAGGAATCAAACCCAAGACCTTCTTGCTGAAAGGCAGCAGTGCTAACAACTGAACCAGATCAGGCCACCTTGAGAGATGTGTTTTTAAACCTGATGCATAATAAATGGACAATTTGTTTATTCCTTCAATTTAAAAAGTACTACCTCAATCGACGAACCTGCAATACATTTTATTGTCTTTTTAGTATTGTTGTGCATTTAGTTTAATAAAAAAACAGAAACAGCAACTTTGTTTTTCTCACGTTTATGTTGTGTAATTGAAATACTCTACCCTCCCTCATTTGTGGAAGCTGTAGTGCGTTGTTTTCTCTAATGACTATTTTTATTACAGGCTCTCATTTTTCTCGCTTATGTTTTAAAGTCATCTGAACATTCAACACATTTCTTTCTTTTTTCACGTTTATCAATTAAATTAGAAAAAGAAAAAATAGAACAATTGGTTAAAATTTTAAGCCATTGGCCAGAAAAATCCTAATCAATGTATCTTCATTATTGACCAGAACTCAAAGGAAATTCCCCAGAAAATGCCGTTTTCTCAACACTGTAGTCAACTGAAACAAAAAGAGCTGTAGTTGTCTAAGAGATTTATGATGTCTGCCTTGACGCTTTTGTATTTTATGCGCTTCACAGCTCAGACTGATTCCCATTGACGCACAGAGGCAGCAGCAGTGTGTCACAGGTCAGCTCGTCTCCACATCACTCCACATGCTCCTCCATGTTCCTCTGACCAGCTGCAGCATGTTGCAAACACACAACGGGAAGCGGCTGCATCCCAACACACAGCAGAGTCAGCGTCACCTTGCATGCCGATAGAGACCCCCCGTAACGAATGATGCGTTCAATTTCGCAGTAAATGATCATCACCGCTCAAATTCACCTGGGAAAGAAAAATAAATAAATAAATAAATAAATAAAAAATCTCCCCCAAGCCACAAAACTTACCCGCCGTGACTCGAGAGACGCCGAGGCAGCCGCTGAGGACGAGCAGGAAAAATCTCTCCATGATCTCTCAAACGCTCGGACGACGTGCGGTCCCATTTATTTACTCGGGCCGTGTTACGCTGCTCGGCATCCACGTCTGTTCACGCGTGCAGTCTGAACGGGCAGGACGGGAGGGGAGGGGAGGGGGGATGGCGGCGACTCCTCAGCACCCTGGACAGCAACCTCACGGCTCACTCAGCTGCCGCGGTTGTCTGCAGAGCTGCGGCCAGCATCATCTTCATCATCACGGACTGCGCCGTTTCACATGCGTCCAAAAAAAATGTGCACCAGTCAGATCCCTCCTCCAGCATCTGCAGACTGAAACGCGCTGGCTTTGTGTGTGAGAGGTTCCTACCGCTTAGAGATGCAGCCGCGCACGACGAAATAAAAACGTTTAGGTAAAAAACAAAAAAACAAAAACGCCACAACAACCAAAAACAAACAAACAAACAAACAAACAAAAAAAACGCTTATTTTCTCTAATCGTGTGGAGGATGTGAATTCAAAGCGTCCCCCGTTGTATGGGTTTGAAATTGCAGCCAAAAGTTGCCGCCAAACACCGAACCTGACCTCCAGAGCGCGGCGCAACCGTGTGGGATGAGCAGCTGATCAAGTGAAAACTTGTCACCAGCAGCCCTCTCACGCCCCTGCTTCACTTTGCCCACTCCGTGAGCCAGATCGCTCCGAATTACCGCTGCCCACTCTTCTATTAAATATGCATACACGATCCCACGCAAACAGCCGCCTCTGTGGAAACGCGCTTCTCCACTCCACAGGCAAACACGTGCCTCTTGACTTCACCACTGAGTTGACACCCGCCTCTCCACCTCGAGTTTGTTTGCGAAGCGCCCGGAGCGCGCGGCGAAGCGGGCGCAGAGGTGGTGAAAGTCCGCGTTACAGTACCTGACAGGTTCCCCGCGGCTCGCTCCAGGGATCGAAGCTCTCCGGGATGTTTGTGCGCTTGTTTCTGCCCCTGTGCGTGTCCCGAACCAGGAGACAGACCACTGTCCCCCAGCAGTGTCCACAAGAAGTGCTGACTTCGCCCCGCTGTGCGCCTCGATCCACAGATGGCTGCCTCTGACGTGTTGCAGGGAACAAAGCAGGTGGAGCGACGGGGTTATTGTTCTGTTTTTAACATGCTTCACTCTCCTCTCCCCTCATCCACATGTTGTGGGAGCAATAACCCATGCCAATTTATCACATTTTGTCATTAAACTGTCTCTGACTTTAATGTATTTTATTCCGATTTTGCTACTCAGATGTGTTGTGGTTTTGTATTTAGTCATTCTTGGCTTGGAATGGCACTGAGTACAATCAAATACAATTGATTACTTTTCTATCAGTGAAGCTGGACACGGTTACATCTAAACGAGGTTTATAAAACAATCAAGAGAGACCAGCCAGCCTAACATACAATTCAAAACAATTTCCTATTGCTCTGAGCACATATGAATGCAAATTAATAGGTGAAAAATGATATTCATGCCTATTGGTGCATGGATTGTCTGTCCTGCTCTGTGCTGATAGTCATTTAAAACAGAGATGCACAATTTCAGAAACTATTTCTGAGTTGAGAATAAATGTCCTAACAACAACCTTTGTCAGATGAAAACATACTTTTCAACAGGCCACATTTGAGTATTATGAATGTTGTTTTTATTAGTATGGTCTAATGTCCTGATCTTAGGTGTCATGTTTTCATCTTACGTTGTCATTATTAGCTAAAATAAAGGCACAAAAACAGAAATTTGTGCGTGAATAATCTACATACTGTGTTTCTCTGTGTGAATTGAGATACTGAAAGAAATGAACTTTTTCATAATACAGTGATTTATTGATTATGACTGTACATCCAACTGGAAACATATATTATCAATACACAGAGAGTGTACACATAACATTTGAAATATTTCACCACATATTAAACCCATGAAGAACTTTGCAATTACAATATTAGACACAATTTAATTGTGATTCAGATCTAATTTAAAGGGCTTTTTAAAAAAAATTATAAATAGTTCTTTAGACTCCCTGAAGGTTTTTTTTTTAATGTTTTACTTAAGCTTTACCTGTGGCTTTTTAAATTCCATTTTACACCCCATTTATGTGCATCAGCGTTAAAATACATGTTGTAATCGTTGCGTGGCAAAGTGAAATCTGCTTTTATTGTGGCTTTTATATTGCTAAAACTGCCTGGTGGATGAATTCAAGCGAAGCCCTGCATTTTTATCTCCCTTTTGAATATTGCAGAAACTGAGCTGCAGCATGGAGGAGCATACAGCTTCCTCAGATGTCCTGATTAAATTTGAAGCTCAGATACACAAGGACTAAAATGTCAACCGTTTCTTTACTTTGGGGGGAGGGGGAGATCATCGGAGATCTCTCAGCGTCCCGGGCCAACAGAATGTTAATGCCCTTTAAATTCAGCACTTAGCAAACACATAAAGGACTCAACCCAAGCGGGTAATTTGCTCCTGGAAATTGGCCTCTTTGATACTTTACATTCTTCACCGTTAAATCTCTCGTCTTTGTGGCTGTTCAGGTTCATGTTTGTTCCTGTGAGTTTCCCCTCGGTGAGCGGAGGCCTGGTTTGTCTCAGTGTGTCTGTTTGTTCTTCACTGAGGGAGAGACATTTGTATGCTGTCCTAATAAAAGTGGGAGCAGGAGGCCATGAAGTAGAACGTCAGTGTAAAGATAGTTTACTCTCACCCCGCAGCCCTTTGAAGCATCACTTGTGTTGATGCTGATGTGAGCCGCTCTCAGCAGGCTTAAGGCAGAGTCTCCATCCAAACCTGTGAGTGTTTGACGGTCAAAAGGGATCAAAAAGTGGCTTGAAGATGAATTTTCTCACTCTTAAGAGTTTCATTTTCAAACATTCAGCAAGTTAATTGGCTTGAGGAACTTTTTCCATTTCTTTTTGAATATACTTAAGCAAAAACTTGCTGGTTAATCTGAGGCCATTTTATGGAGACAGATAGACGACAAGGATCTGATATTTTCCCCTTGATTACATTAATAAAGCAATTCACTTTTATAACTTGTGGTGGGAATTGTGCAGCTCTCTAAGTGCTCTCCTTGTAATATTTTAAGTGTTTGCCCATGTGTTTACAGTTGAGCTTTACTCTTTCAATTTTCAGACGATGGACTGAACAGAGTCCTGTGAGATGTTCACAGCTTTGGTTATTGTTCCGCAAACAAACTCTTTAAATGTCTCTACAACCGTCTGCTTTCTGTTTGTTCACTAATATCCTCTAACAAATCTCTGAGGGTTTCACAAAACAGATGTACTTCTAATGACTTGGAATTAGACCCAAGCAATCTTTATTTACTGCTTAGTAATTGTTTTCACTGGAATTTTGTTTGGGGTGTCATAAAGAGGGCTAAAACAAAATCAAACAACCTTTTAAGATTTATACTTGTTTCCATAAATGTATGGAGTTTAACAAAAAAGTTATTCACTGTTTTATGTAAGTTTATCACATGTAATCCCAATTGAAAACAAAGTTATGTTTCTTCTTGTAACATAAAATGTGAAAAAAATACACTGTTTTAAATTCTTTGAATGAAGTGTGACTTTTGTGAATTTAAAGTATTTTTTTTTTTTAAATTATTCAAGTTGTTTAAAAGTCAGAGTTTATGGATGCTGGAATAAAAGACATTGCTATGCCCCAAAAACCTACTGTTGGGAATAAAACCTCTTTGATTGGTCAGCAGAAAATCTTTATCCCGAGCTTCTATTATGGGACATGTATTCATTCTTTAGCTGGTAAATATAAAATCCTGTGCATATTACAGACTGGGAGCATCATCCTATGGCTATTAGAGACAATTGATAAAAATTTTAATGCATTTAATTTAAAATTGCTGAGGCATCCAATGATAATCAATTTGACTCACAAAGTATAGGCATCACCAAGCATGACAACCAGAGTGAATTATTAAAAATAGGGAAAGACGAGGGCTGTGACACAGTTGGTAAAATCCACAACTTGAATTGGCATTTCTTTCTTTAAACACGGAACAAATCAGCAAGTAGGACACCTTGCCATGAATATTTTACACGCATCAATATTTTGCGACTTGACACTGGAGCTTACGGCGACTTTTCTGCCTCTCAGAATGATTTTGGATTATGAGCTCTGGCAGGTCGCTCAGAGGTGGCAACCCGGACCAGGATGCAGAGAGGGCAGGATGGCAGGTTTTGTTCCTGTCTCAGCCTGATAAGATTGGGAATCCGGCCCAGAGAGAGGAGATTCAATAAATACAAAGCTGTGCCAATTGGAGTTGGAGGGGAGGTGGGAGGAAGGGCTGGGCGGAGAAAAATTATAATTTATTCATAAAGTTTCCAAAACCCTCTCCGACTTTTCTGCTTTTCTTTAGTCTCAGTTTGAAAAGTTTGATTGGCACTCAGTGTTGACACATTAAGACGCTCCAGTCCATTAATTCTGCTGACACGTGGAGCAGCTGTAGCTGTAGATGATTGAGTTCTTGTTCGTAATCCCATTACAGCGCTGCAGATTCAGAGTTCATTTGCAGCTTTGTGCGAAGACATGCTTCCATCTGAAAGTGGGACAAATCAGAATTGGCAGTAGCTCGGCGACTCAAAGCTCCTCATGGCAGCACATCAAGGGAGAAAGTTTTAACGAAAAGAATAACAAATATTAAAGTAATTTTAACAGGCACAAAAAACAACAACAAATCTAACAAATCTACTGTAAGAAGAGAGACCACTCTTCTGTGTTCAGTGTATTAATACTCAGAGGTCGGATGAAGAGATGCCTTAAGATGAATAATACAACAATTTAGTTACATTTGTTAAAAGGTCGTCTTATTTTAGTCCAGCTCAAAACGTCGGCAGGTTTTTCAAGCTTTCCTGCTAATTATCTGCTCCAATGTAAAACTTGATTAAGTCACATTTTTAAACTAATTACTCTTAAAACATATGAAAGGATAGGATTCAGTATTTTATTGAAGCCAACATAAGATTTTGTACTTAATTGACCCAACAGATAACAAATACAATACAAAAATTGAAACACTACCAGACTAAAACTACACACAACTGATTAAAGAAATTTTAACTTGCTTGAAACATGTACTCTATTAGTTTTTAAGACTTATTGTCAAGTTTTGCATCTCTCTGATCTAATAGGAAAAAGTTGGAAAGGGGACTGGCATCAGTTTTCAGACAGTAGCCAGAGTAAGAAAGAACTGAGCTTCTCCACCAAATTCTGTCTCCATGGACATGATCATTCCCAAACCCATCTCTCAGCTTAGATGCTAGCTGAAATTTTTGCACAAGCAGCTCTCAGATTGGGCCGTGGCTGCTCCAGTGCTGCTGCTTCTTCTGGCACAACTTGTTCAGAAGTTCTCATTTGGATCACAGCCAGATTCCTCATACACTAACTACACTTAAAAC